CAAATGCAGTTTATGGAATAATTGAAAATTTATGGTATAAGTATGAAATAGTACAGTTGCATCAGAGAACTCTTTCGCATCTTCTTACATAGTTAAATATATCCTTTACTATGGACAAGCAATTCTAATCCTAGTTATCAACCTGTGAGAAATAAAAACATTTGTACACAAAAGGCTTATACTTGAATATTTATAGAAATTCTGTTTGCAATGGTGCCAAACTGTGAACAACCCATGAATATATAAGCAAATGAGTAAATGAACAAATTTTGTTGGTGGCATACATTGGAACACTGCTTAAGTCTAATGAGGAATTAACATCTGAAAGACGTCACAGCATAAATAAATCTCAATAATTTTTTGGTGAACTAAATAAACCAGACAGAAACAAATACAAATATAATTGTATCTACATGAAATTCTAAGAACAAGCAAAACTAATAGAGGCAGAAATCAAATCAGTACTTGCCTGAGGCTGGGTTGGAGGTAGGTTAGATTTGACTGTAAAGGGAAATGGAAAAAAACTATTTGGAATGATGGAAATGCAGCAGTTACATAGGTTTTTATATTTGCCAAAACTCTTTTAGCTATACTTATGAAACAGATGAATTTTGTTTTGTAAATTATTATCGTATAAAATTGATATTAAAAACCTATACTGAAATCCAGTATTTTAACTATCCTAGAATAAACAAATGTGAAGGGCAAAATGTGAGCTGTGTGATTTGCTTTTCCAAGGGCAATAGGCATGGATACACATATTTACACACAAATACATGTACAATGTACATGCATGCATATGTGTTTTATTGACCTTGGACAAAATATTATCAAAAGATGGTCTCCTGTTTAGTTTTCCAGTGGCTTGATAATGGTTTACTTAGTCTTGCCAATTCTCCTTGTTTAACCACTGAATTAGTGTCTCTTTAAATACAATTTGGAAAAAGGGTCTTTTATTTAAAATATCATTTTATTGGGTGCTCGTACAACTCTTGTCACAATCCATAGATACATTCATTGTGTCAAGCACATTTGTACATTCACATCATTTTCAAAATATTTTCTTTCTACTTGAGCCCTTGGTATTAACTTCTTCCTCCCTTCCCCATCCTTCCTCCCTCATGAACCCTTGATAATTTAAAATTTATTATTTTTTCATGTCTTACACTGACTGATGTTTCCCTTCATCCACTTTTTTGTTGTCTGTCCCACTGGTTTCAGTAATTCCTCTTGGTTACATTGCCCTTGATCAAGCCCTACTAGGCCTCCCACACCCTCCTCACCATCTATTTTAGATTGCTTGTTGCCTTCTTCCTTTCCCTCCTGCCTCTACCTCTCCCATGTCCTACACTCACCCCAAACATCGCTCCTGTTATTTTTCCCTCCAGATTGTTTGTACCACCTATCTTATTTGATAGACATGCAGAAATAGTAATATGCACAAAAACAAGACAGAGCAAAACTAAACAACAACAAAAATACCAAAACAACAACAACAACAAAACCAAAGACAAAACAGAAAAGCCTATAAATAGCTCAAGGTCTGTTTGTTGACCTTTACGAGTGTTTTCAGGTCAAGTTTGATGGGGTGCCACATCCTGGCCCCACAGTCTATTTTTGGTATTCCCTGGGTACTTTATTGTTCTACTCCCTTGCTGTTCTGGTAAAAGCCCTTAGTGTTTTGCCTTGGTGTGGTGAGGTCAGATTGGGCACAATTCCTGCACTGTGTCTCCAGTGTTGTCCCCCTTAGCGCTATGCGTCAGTGAGAGACGTTGTGTCTCCTGGTGGGGTCAGCCCTATGCACTGGCTGCTCTGAGCAGGAATATCCTGCTTAGGACTTGGTGGGTCTGGATGTGCTCCACTCTTTCACCCTCCTTTGTTTGCTCCTGTCTGCTCTGATCAGACACGTCCCTCTCCGAGCTGTAGCTTCAATGCTGTCCTCTGAAGTGAATTCTTCTGGAGGCTGTCCACGTAGTTGGGATTGGGGTGGGCCCCTCAGAGCTCTCCATTGGTTCTCTGCTTCATGCCGGTATGTTGTATTCACATCTTGGAGCACCAGGTTGAAGTCTGGTCCTTCTTTCCCTCTGAAGATATAAACAATGCCTTACCCTTGGGTGGGTTAGTGCCCTGTTTCCCTGCTACCCATGTCTTCCCCCACCCCTTTTTGTTGGCTACCATATGTTTCCCTAGATTGGGTGGAAAAAAGGTCTTTGTCAATGTAATAACCAAGGTAAGAAGAGGTGGGGCCTAAATCCTATATGACGAGTGCCCTTATGAGAAAAGGAAAATATGAACATGGGACAATCCACGTGAAGATGAGAGCAGAAGATGTCACCAGGAAGCAGTTTTGTGTCTGTCAGCCAAGGTCCACCAAAGATTGACAACAATTACCAGTAGCTAGAAAGATGCAAGGAATGGTTCTTGGAACCTACAGCGAGAAAATGACTGCAAACAATTTCTGATTTTTAGAGTCCAGAATTGTGAGAGAATAAAGTTTTGTTGTTTGAAGCCACCAAATACATCCTTAAAGAATTGATGCTGACCTATTTTTTGAGGAGCAAAAAAGAATTAAAGGATGACCATGATTGAGTTTAAAATAAGTGACATATATCATGCTTATCAATAGTGATAATCAAATGCATCATATGGTTTTATTAGATATATCTATGATTACATTTCCTGGGAGTGTGGAATGATGCTGTCATCACTCAGATACTTCAAAGCTATAACGATTATATTACAATTGTTAAAATCTAAATGTGGATAGAAATTTTTGTATAAGCAATATAAAACATATGAAATGCTGTTCCCATTTCTTAATTGAATACGCTTGTGTTAATTGGAGTAATCACCCAATTCTTGACTTTTCTATAAATTTATCAATAAAGAAAGACTATGCAGATAGTTTCTGGGTGGTGCAAATGAATAAATGATTTGACTACTTGCAGAAATATTGGCTGTTCAAATTCACCCACAGGTGCCTGACCACCTGCTTCTGAGAGGCCATGTTTAAAAATCTTATAGAGCAGTTCTACTGTGCACAACTGGGGTCACCATGAGTCAGAAGCAACACAACTTACCACCACCTTCCGGGGAGTTCGCCCCCCCCCCAACCGCCCCCAAACATGAAACCCCTGTCACCCCCAAGAGTTTGTAGTTAATTTTTTTAACAAAACAACCTTTTCACCTTCAAAGTACTCTCCATTACACTTAATACATTTGTCATATCTGTGATTCCATTCTTGGAAACATTTTTTCAAATGCATCTGTTTGGACGGCTGACAGAAACCTCCTTCGTTTTTTTTTGTTTACCTCTTCTACATCATCAAATCGCTGTCCTTTCATGTCCTTCGTTTGAGGGAAAGAAAGGTATCATGGAGCGAGGTCGGGTAAGTCAGGTGCACTGGGCAAGAGAGGCAAGTGTGTTTGTTTTTGCCAAAAATTGGTGCTCTGAGATGACCGTGAGAAGGTGCATTATGATGGTGGCAAAACCATCCCCCCACCTGCCACAAGTCAGGCCTTTCCTGTCACACGCTGTTAGGCAATCTTTTCAGGACTTCTCAATAAAAGTTAGCCATCTGACCTGTTGGAATGAACTCCAAATGCACTATCCCCCTCAAATAAAAAAACACATGAGCGTCGCCTTGATCTTTGAATTCACTGGATGAGCTTTTGGGGGGGCAAAGTGAGGATGTGGTCTTCCACTGGCTTGATTGATGTTTGCTTTAGGGGTCATAAGAATAGCACCATGGCTCGTCACCAGTAATGACCTTGGAAAAAAGTCTGGGTCACTTTGGAGCTGGTTTTTCAAAGCATGGCACATTCTCACGGACACTCTTTTTCCTGGTCAGTCAGAACCCAAGGCACAAATTTCATAACAATTTTTCTCATTCCCAAATCATCCATTGAAATTCACTGAATTGAGTTCCAACATAGTCCAGATAATGTCCCCAACTCTTCAATGATCTGTCGTCAGTCTTCTAGCACACATGCACATATTTTGTCAATATTTTCGTCCATTTGGAAAGTTGACAGATGTCCAGAAAATGGTTTGTCATCAATATTTTCAAAATGAGAACCACTTGTACACTTGAGTTTTCCCATAGCTCTGTCCTTGTAAGCTGTGTTCAACATTACAACAGTTTCTGCAGCATTTTTCCTGAGCAGGAAACAAAATTTCACAGCCACATGCTGTTCTCTTAAATCGGCCATCACATAAAATGAGGTTGAAAAAATTCACTGTGACCAGAGACAACCTTCCCAGGTGCACTAACTCAAAGTGAGTTTCTGGATTCTCACAGGAAAAATGCATACAATGAAAGCTTCACCCAGAGAGCTTTTATCCTTTATTTTGTGTGTGTGGAGGGGTGGGGTGGGGTGGGGAGCCAGGTAAGTATCCCTTGTATATACTTGTTCATATAAAATTCAAAACCTTTTGTTAAAGTTAATCAGATACACTAATTCTTATATTATCTATTCTAAACAATCACAAAAAATGTGTTCATTAAAAACATTTTTTTTAATTTGTATAAAGCTATTTTAAGAATTCCCCTAAGGAAATTGTACTGGTTTTTGTTCAAGAATCCTGTGATTCCTATGATTTATGGGATTTTAAGTATTCAGGTTTTCTGTGGATGGTGCCAATGGTTAAATATTTAACCACTCACCAGAAGGCTGACAGTTCAAACCCACTAGATATGCCTTGAAAGACAGCAGTTGAGAAATCTGTTTCTAAAAGGTCACAGCCTTAAGCACCCTGCGGAGCAGCTTGATTCTGCACGCCCAGGGAGCACCATGAGTTGAAATGGATTCCATGGCCATGGGTAGGGTTTCCCTATAGAGTGCCTTGACTTAGTAGTTAGGAAAACAGACACGAAACAGGCAATAAGTGGGGGTTTCCAAGTGGTTACCTTTATTTGGTAGGACATAATGTGTTAATTCTTAGTTTTACATGTATTGGGTAATTTTTTCACTTAATTAATTATTTTTTCTTTCCCCAGTGAATAACCCTATCCCTTCCAATCTGAAATCGGAATCAAAAAAGGCTGCTAAAATATTAAGAGAATTCACAGAAATAACTTCCAGGAATGGACCTGATAAGATCATTCCTGGTGGGTAAATAAAATACATCTTGCTCATTGCTAAATTTGTCTTGTTTTCTCAGGTGCTTTCTTGCATTCCTTCACATTTCACTTTAGGCAGACAAGCCCCCAGATAGCAACTGTCCTTGAACCACTTTTTCCCCATAACTGATCCAGCAGTGCTTACCAGCTCGTCTAAGTGCTCTTTCAAGATACAGCCAGAGTAGATCAAATCATGGATATTTATTTTAATCAAATTTTCTTTCCTCCTCCACCTATACATTTTATGTCATCCTTTTCTTCTGTACTTATTTTAAGACACCTAGTACTTGTTAATTTTTTTAACATTAAAAAAATTTTTATTAGCTTTTTGGTGAAAGTTTACACAGCAAGTTAGATTCCCATATAACAAGTACTGCACATTACTGTTCTAGGCTCAAACTTGGCAATAGTTGTAAGGATTGCTCAGATTTAGACAATGTTGTGTTCTGTTTTCTGTAAGAGTGCTATGAGTCAAAACCAGCTTGATGACATCGAACAACAATAATACATATTGTTGATACCGTGATAATTTTCTTTTTTTTTCTTCACATCATTAATTAGGTTTTATTCTCTTTGATTTTTATGCAATATTACATTTTTACCTGGAAGTCTAGAATTGTATCAGACACTTTCTGAGAGTAATTACACTGTAATGCAAGACCCCACATCAATGACAGCCAAAATGTTAAAGGAGTAAGTACTAGTAGTTTAAGATTTTCTTTTCTTTTTTTCTTTTAATCGTTTTATTAGGGACTCATATGACTCTTCTCACAATCCATACACACATCAATTGTGTAAAGCACATTTGTACATTCATTTCCCTCATCATTCTCAAAACATTTCCTCTCCACTTAAGCCCCCAGCATCAGGTCCTCATTTTTTTTCCCCTCGTGGTAACATACTTCTTAATTTTTTCTGAGTATTTCACTTCCATTTATCTGATTTTTCTGTTTCCTTAGCCTTTTGGTATTGCTTTAGAGTAATTGTTGACTACTTGGTCTCCAAGAACTGATTTTTTAAAGGTGCACAGTCCTCAACAGAAGAAGCCCTTATGCAGCAATGAGTTAATTTCAAAAGGAATCCAAGGCAGGATGATGAGCATGTTTGTTCTCTTAAAAGCTTGCAATCTCAGTAACCCTAAGGAACACTTCTCTTCTCCGGGATATGGTTGCAATGAGTTGGAATCAAGTCAATGGCAATAGTTCTTTTTATTTATTTATTTATTTTTAATTTTTTTTTTAATTTAATAAAATTTAATTTGGTGTGTTCTCTTTCCAGATAAGACATTTACATTTTTAGAATGGTTTAAGAAGACATGAATCAGGAGTTGGCAAACCTGTTTACTGGCATCTCTCTTGTTGATAGATGCCTAGGTACAACAGAATGAAACACTGCCTGGCCCAGCGCTGACACCCTGTCCTCATAACTGTGGTAGTGCTTCAACCCAGCTAATGTGGCCATCCGTCTTGTGGAGCCCATTCTTTTTAACTGACTCTACCACACATGGTCTCCTTTTCCAGAGACTGAGCTCTCCTGATAATATGTCCAAAATGCTTAATTTTCTTTGCTGTTACCTGAGAAGGCTGGTTGTTTGAGTCCACCCAGAGGTGTGTTGGAAAAAAGACCTGGGGATCTACTGCTGAGGAAAAAATCAACCACGGAAACCTGTGGGAGACAGTTCCACTCGACATACATGGGTCAGCCTGAATTGGAGTCAGCTGGATAGCCACTGGGTTTTGTTGTTCGTGCCATTGAGTCGATTCGCACTCATAGTGGCTCTGTGCACCGTGGAATAAAATACTGACTGGTCCTGTACCATCCTCACGTGGTTTTTACCTATTTATCACTCCCAATAATTTTCAAAGGTTGTTTCATAGCACACTTATTTCACATAAAATAAGATTCTTATTTATATATTTATGGGCATTGTTGCAGACTAAATTTCCTTTCTGATCACAATGTATGTCTCTGAGTCCTGCACTAAAATAAATAAATATTTTAAAATTTCCCAAAGTTATTTAATGATAGAACTTTAATTTTTAAAATACTGTTTGTTTTTATAATAATCATAAATTATACTAATAAATGTGGTTTTGACTCAGCCACTCCACAGAGCTACATAACGTGTAGTCTGTGGCTGAGAGTTCAGGGCTACCTGGAGCTTGTTAGAAATGCAGACCTCACGCACAACTCAAACATAGAGAATTAGAACATGAATTTTTCACATTCCCTCCTCAGAACCAGGACTTTGGGCTTCAAGGAAATTCAACCAGAATTTTCAGTAGCAGTGCTGTAAAGCAGGCAAATAGAAGAAAATCTCGATGAATATCAATATATGCAAAATGTCATGCCAGCCTAATTTGTGGATAAACTATATTTCCTATCATTTAAAAAATATCATGGACTCTATAAAAATATTAATCTTGCCTTCTTTCTGTCTCCAGAATTTTAATTTTTTTATAATAGTAGTTTTATACAATATTTTTCCTTTGTCACTGACAAATTTTGCTATAGCTATTATTTCCCTAGGATATATACCAAGTTGAAGAACTCCTGGGTCATCTGATATTTTTATTCCCAAATTTTGAGGAAGTACCATACCACTTTCCACAGTGGTTATAGCACTACCAACAGAATGTATGTGGTTCTAATCTCTCTACACCTTGCTAGTTTTGTTATTTTATGGTTTTTTTTTGTTTAAGCTTTCCTGTTAATGCTGGGCTGAGGTATTGTTGCATCTCTCCTTATGTTTGTTGACCTCATAAATATCTTCTTTGTTGAACTCTCTGTTCATGTTCTCTGCTCATTTTTTATTGTATTATTTGTACTTTTCTTGTTGGGGTGTTGAAGTTTTCTACAAAAATTTCAATACCCTTTTCCAATATGGCACTGCCAAAAAATGTTTGCTCTTTTAGTAAAATCTTTTGATGCATATAATTTCAGATTTTTAGGAAATTATAGCTATCTATTTTACCTTTTATGCCAGTATTAAGCCCCTAAGTTTGTCCCCATGTTTTTTGTTCTCTGTCCCTCTTTGATGGTCTTTCCAGTTCTAGATTTTACATTTAGGTCTTTGGTCCATATCGAGTCCATTTCTACACACAGAGTAAGATATGGACAGTGTTGGATTCTCCTGCAAATGGAAGCACTATTTGTTAAAAAGACTGTCTCTTCCCCCATGTATTTGAACCTTTTGTCAGTGTAAGTGGTGGTTTTACTTATTGGTTCTTAATGCCATTCCACTGTATCAGACCAATACCAGGCTGTTTTGACTACCATTGCTGTGTAGTACATTTTGAGATCCAGAAGTGAGAGACTTTCTGATTTCTTGTTCTTTAGAAGTGCTTTGTTTATCTGGGTCTCTTTCATACCCCTATAAACTTCATGACAATTTTTTCCAATCCTTTAAAGAACGGTGCTGGAATCTGGACCAGGATTGCATTTTATCTGTATTGTTTTGGGTAGTTTTGACATTTTCACACTATTAAATCTTCCTATAATTGACTGTGGTCCATTCTTCAATTAATGTACGTCTCTTGGTTTCTTGTAGCAGTTATTTATAGTTTTCTTTGCATAAGTCATTTGTTTCTAAAGTTATATTTATTCCTGTTTCATTTTTTAAGTGCCAATTGTAAATGGTTTTGTTTCCCTGATTGCATTTTCAGGGATCTCTTTATTAGTAAAAAGGTATCCAAATGATTTTTCTGTTAATAGTATACTCTGGTACATTGATGAATCTTTCGAGTAGTTACAACAATTTTCTCGCTTAGTCATTGGGAAAAGAATGTATATTGTACTGCCGTGTTGTTGGGTAGATTGTTCTGCATTTGTCTATGAGGTCAAGTGTGTTGATTATATTTAGTTCTTTTGTCTTTGTTCAGTTTCATTCTAGCTGCACTGTCACTCTTTAAGAATTCTATATATTTTGAGACAGTTTCTTTTGATGCATGGATATTTATTGTATATTCATGTATTTTGAGGTTCTGTCTTTTGTTCGTGGGTATTTATTATCTCATCTTGTTCAATTGAGCCTTAATAATCATATAACTTCCTTCTTAGTCTCTTATGTTGGATTTTGCCTTGACGTCTATTTTTATCAGAATTTATTAACGCTCTTGCTCTTTTTTCCATTGCCAATAGCTTGATGCATTTTTTCCTATCCTTTGATTTTTAGTGTATTTTTACCTTTATGTGTAAAGTATGTCTCTTATAGATAGCAGCGTGCTGTTTTCTTATCCATTGTATTACTCTCTGTCTCTTCATTGATACATTTAAACCATTTACATGTATTGTGTTATTGATACCTATGGATTTATTGCTGTCATTTTATGCTCTGTGTGTATATTTGTGTGTTAATGCTGTTTTTTATTCCATGCAATTTTCTTTGCCGAGCTCATTTTGTTCATAATTTTATTGTTATCTTCTTAATTGCTGTTGTTTTAGAGCTCACGAAATCATTATTATTTTCCTCTTTTTTGGATGAATTTTATTCTTTTTATTTGAGGTTATTGCCCTATAATTTATTAATTTCTCCCCTAATTTAAAATGGCCTACTCTGTCTCGAAATATAATTGACTTACTCTCTTTGGAAGCTTTGTAACTACACTATTTTCCCTTTTTATTTTTCAGTTGTCGTAATTAAAAATTGATAGCTTTCAATTTTATTTTCAGTCTTGTAGGTTGTTTTGCTTTGGATATATCTATATCTGAGTTGTCTTCTGAGTCATTTGCTATATATATTAATCTCAGATCTTCTGTCCAAAGAATTTTCTTCAGTGTTTCTTCTAAGGGTAGTCTGGTTTTTATAAATTTCTTTAATTTCTGTTTATCTGGAAATGTCCTAATTTTGCTGGTGCATTTAAGAGACAGTTTTGCTGGATATATGTTTCTTGGTGGACATTTTTTTCTCTCAGAATTTTATGTGTCATCCCATTGACTTCTGGCCTGCATTGTTTCCAGAAGGTCACTACTGTGGCCTACCATTGATCAATTCTCCTCCTGTTGTCTTCCAATGCATTGTCTATTTCTGAAATCTTAATAGTTTTTGAATTTCTATTTGCTGCTTTTTGTATGCTTTCTAAGTTTGCATGTATTCTTTTCAGTTTACTTTTATAGTGCTTTCTTTTTCTTTTTTGGTTCTATAGCTCATTCTTGGATTTAGAGCAGCTCCAAAGGCTCTGGTGACCTAATTTCTTATGTGCTTCTGTGAACTTCTCAAAATCGGTCCCTTTAAATGCACATAATTATATTAGAAATTTAATGTTTTTATAAGAACACTTGGACAACTTTTTTTGTGTACAACTGTGCACAGTCGTCTTGTTTGCGTTCCTTGACAGAGGATTTGACTATGGTGATGATAAATTAAGCCATTTTACAAGTATTATTAGTATCCCACTATGATTTCTTATTTTTAAGCTAGTTGAAAAGATGTGCTACTATATTAGTAAATTCATAGAATAGAGAGGGACTGTGATTCATGGCTAAATAATTTGGTAGTCCCCATTTTCTGTAATGTAATTCTAAAAATTGGAGTAAACCAATATATTTTTTAATTAAATTGTATTTTCGCTGTCCTGAAAGTTAGGATAGAGTTGCTATGAGTTAACTTTACTCCACAGCACACAACAAGTAGTTAAGTCATTAAGTACAGAGATTTAAAAATGAGCAGATCATTCAATAATTTAAACAAAGTAGAAAATGTTCTTAATTTTAAACAGTTTTAAAACAGTAAAACTGTTTTTTATGAATATTTCCATATTCATGAGAGGTAGACTTCACTATTTTGCTTTAAAAATCAGTATTTTGCCCCTTGTTGATTTTTGGAGATTTTTTCTTAATTTATTGCAAAATAGTGATTTTTGTACTTTTATTTGTTTCCTACATTAATTGAGATCACCAACATGTTTGCTTTGTTTGTAGTTAACAATGAAATCTCATTCAAGATTCTAATTTATCATGGCAGCTGCAGGAATGGTGAGCATTAAGATGGTATACTTAGCATTGCAAAAATAACATTAAATAAAAAGAGGTAGGAGGAGAGAAGTTTCCTGCCCATCTGTTATATAACTAGGTTTTATTCATGGCTCATATATGCCACTAAGATTCTTAATTAGAACCATATCATCTTGTTAAGCAAATGTCTTTGTATGTAGCATGTTTGTTTAAAACTTGCTTATAGAAATTTGTTATAGCTATATATTCAGTCATATAGATTAAGAAGGCTTATCATCCTATTGTTTTTATGCTTGCAGCCCATGTAATTGCTAAAGCTAAAGGTCTTGCAATTTTGTCCGTGGTAAAAGCTGGATTTCTGGTGACTGCTAGAGGAGGCAGTGGGATTGTACTGGCTCGTCTTCCAGATGGAAGTAAGTTAATACTTTTCCACTCACAGGAGTAGAGAATTGTTTTTCTGTTTTCATTTTGAATACATTCATAAAGATTTGGATAGGTTTCCTCTGTATCACCTAAAATTGATCTACTAAGGGCTGTTCAATTGTGTGTGTAGATGGTAATTAATTAACCAAGAGGTAAAAGAATTTTTTCCTTGTTTTCTTCCTTCTCTCAAATTCATTAGGCAAGTCTCAATATATCAATAGATACCAAAGATACAATATAAGACTCAATAGATCATACTTTGCTTAGTATACATTTTGTCAGCTTTTCATGGAGCAAATATTTAGATAGGACAGTCTATGCATTTCTGCCATTAAAAGTGAATTTGCCTTTCTCAGCTTCATGGTATAGGAAGTGATTGATTGTTCAAGCCTGCCACCTACCTTGTGGGAGAAGGTTGTGACCATCTGTTTTCATAAAGATTGCAGCCTTGGAAACCCTACTCAGTCCTGTAGTCACGATGAGTCAGAATTGACCCAATGATGGACGATAATGTAAACATAGAGAGTCATGTGTAGGCTTTACTACCATTTCTCTAGTAGCTCCATAAACACTGCCACATTTTGACAAATTTTTCCCAAGGGAAAATTATATGACTAGCCACATAATTTGATTTTTCTTTCTGGGATAAATTAATTATTTGATTTAAAGAATTGAAATTATGAATTTGCTATGAATTCCAAGGACCAAAATGTTTAATACTATTTAAAACATATGCAGGTGTGTCGTAACTAACTAAAATGTTTTTTATACCAACTTAACATTTGCTGTTCAGTCATATGAGTGAATACATTTCGTCTATTACTTACTAGCTATTTTTAGTGTACATAATTTAACTTTTATTTTGAGAGAGAGCATAGGACACTTACTGAAAAGAGGTACATTTAAGTTTTTTGCAGAGCAGATGGCCTTTAAATATCAGTTGGTTGGATTCATTAGGTTTTTAGTCAAAGTAATCTCACAGAAAATGAGTCTTCCCCTAAGTAGTAGCTTCTCTGTAATAACTGACGAGGAAAATGAAAACTATAAAACTCTCTTCTCCAGCATTACCTACATTTTCATGGGCAGCGCTCTCAGCAATAAAACCAAATACAGACACATCAAAGGGAGGCTACTGTCAGATGGTGCTCAAGAGTCTAAGAAAATCACAAAAATCTATATTCCCAAGGCTTTCAGGACCCCTCTGGCTTCCTCCAGAGATTAGGGTGATTGTAGTTGAAAAGGTTCAAGAGCTATCAAGCTCTGGAGTTTCTCTTAGAAATCCAGGCAGACCTTTCAATTGGTTTCTAAAGCCTAAATATCTCTCTCCAGTTTGCCTACATAGCCAGCTGTGTTCTCTGTAAATTCTAATTTAAAAGCGGTCTAAATAAGGCATAGCTAGAAAATAGGGACTATGGCCAGATGTGCCTGTGTCTTGAGACAGTAGATCACTCGTGTGGGACAGCTTTTCAGTGGGACAAGTTACTAATTTACAAAAATGAAAACTTTGAGATAGTCAAATAATTATTTATGTACTTCAAACTGCTGTATGCCTTAACAACATCAACAGCAACAAAAAACTTACAGCCACTGAGTCACCATCAATTCATAGTGACCCTATAGGACAGGATAGAACTACGCCTGTACATTACTGAGTCTAGAGGTGTAGAGAGCCCTATGTTTCTTCTGAGGAGTGACTGGTAGGTTCGAACTGCTAACTTGCACTTAGCAGGTTAATACATAACCACCGCACCACTGCGGTGCCTTATAGCAATAACTTACTATCTGGTATATGTGCATGTGGTGTGTTAGTTATCTAGTGTTGCTATAAAAGAAATACCACACATAGAGGGCTTTACTAAACAGTCATATTTTCTTATCGGTTAGGAGGATAGAAATAAAAATTCAGGCGGCTGGCTCTTGAGGAAAGCCCATCTTTTTTAGTTTCTCTCTTGGACTATCTCCTTCATGTGGTCGGCATCTATCTATTCCCATCTCTGCTTTTCTCCCTTGCTTGTTTAATCTCCTTTGTATCTCACCATACACCCTATAGTAGTACTCTTGCCTCATTAAGAAGTAAAGAGGACTCATTCCCTAATGTCACTGTAAACAGAGGTTTAGAGCTTAGAATTTACAATATATATTTGGTAGAATCCTAATTCAATCTATAGTAAAATTCACTCAGTGGTAAAAAAGAAAACTATCTGTTGAACAGTTGAGCGTTTGCCAGTTCAGACTCAGCCAAGAAGGAAAGGCTGTGATCTGCTTCTGATATAGGTGGTTGGTTTTTTGGTATTTTATAAGTTGATAGAGAAAGATCAGATAGCAAGGGTTGTGAGTGTATAATGAATAGGTATTACCTTATAAATATCTGTTATATTTCTTTAACTATTTATTAAAGAGAATTTAAAATCATAGAGGACAAAACAAACAAACAAAAACACCCTAAGTCTCATTATTGGAAAAATGAAACACCATTCACATTTCAAAATTGTTCCTTCCATATGTATATGTACAGGTTTTAATGTTAAAATAATGTTTATTTTTCTGGTTTTTATCAGAATGGTCTGCACCTTCAGCCATTGGAATAGCTGGTGTTGGTGGAGGATTTGAAATAGGAATTGAGGTGAGAGCTTATGTATATGAATAAAACGTCTATATTCTTTGAAAGCACCTGAAACTGAAAGCAGGGACTTGAGAGATGTCTTATTCTTATTCACCACTGTCACCTGCAAATATTTCTCCATTGTCTTTTCTTGATGCCTCTAAATTATCGAGCCTGTCCCATTTTGTTTTTCATTTTCTTTCATCGAGTATAGGATGACTTTTCACTCGTTCTCTTTCCATCCAGAGCAAATCTGCTACCAGAGTTCTCTCAGTGGCTGAAAACTATAATTAGCAATTTATGGTTTACTAATTGGACTGCTTATCTCCATCAGAAAGTCCTGTTAGAAAGTTCAGATAGTAGATATAATAGAGTATCCAAAGCACAGGTAATAGAGACAGTAGACTATCCAAAGCACAGGTAATAGAGATAGTAGAGTATCCAAAGCACAGATAATAGAGATAGTAGAGTATCCAAAACACAAATAGTGGGGTAGAAGTAGTTCACCATAGCCTATCATCATTTGTGGCAAAATTCAGTATTGTAGTATCTGATATTCAGATACTTCATATTCTTTAAATTGAGAATAACTCCATACTATTTCTTTCTTTTTTTACTTAAATACTTTTATTGGGGGCTATTACATGTCTTATCACAATCCATACATTCATCCAGTGTGTCAAGCACATTTGCACATATGCCACCATCATCATTTTCAAAGCATTCTCTTCCCACTTGAGCCCCTGATATCAGCTCCCCATTTCTTCCCCTTGCTCCCCCACCCGCTCTCCCTCATGAACCCTTGATAAGTTGTAGATTATTATTTTCATATCTTATATCGTCCTCTATCGCCCCTCACTTACTTTTCCATTTGTTTATCCCCCTGGGAGGGTGGTTATATATTGATGCTTGTGATCGATTCCCCCTTTCTCCCCCCACCCTCCCCTAATCCTCCTGGGATTTCTACTCTCATTGTTGGCCCTGAGGGGGTTTATCTATCCTGGATTCCCTGTGTAGAGCGCTATTATCTTTAGCAGTGTGCATGTTCTAGTCTAATCTGATTTGTAATGTAGAATTGAGGTCATGAGGGGGGTGGGGAGGATTGGGGGAGAGGAAGTACCAAAGAACTAGAGGAAAGTTGTGTGTTTTCATCTGTGCTATACTGCACCCTGACTGGCTCATCTCTTCCCTGTGATCCCTCTGTGAGGGGATGACCAATTGTCTACAGATGAGCATTGGTTCTCCACTCCATGCCCTACTACCCCATTCACATTGGGTATGATTTTGTTCTGGGTCTTATATGTCTGATACCTGATCCCATCAACACCTCATGATCACACAGGCTGGTGTTCTTCTTACATTTGGGCTTTGTTGCTTCTAAGCTAGATGGTCACTTGTTTAACTTCAAGCCTTTAAAATCCCAGATGCTATATCTCTTGATAGCTGGGCACCATCCACGCTCTTCACTACATTTGCTTATGCATCCATTTTGTCTTCAGTGATTGTGTCAGGTAGGGGAGCATCACAGAATGCTGGATTATTAGAACTAAGTGTTCTTGTGTTGAGGGAGTACTTGAGTTGAGGCCCAATGTCCATCTGCACCCTTAGTTGTTAACATATAGATATGAGTACATAGTTCTATTCCCCTCTTGTTGTATACATATGTCCATATGTACTTGCCTGTATTTAGAACTCTTTGTTCTAATGTCCTTTATCTCCTGGTTCTTTCCTCTATTTCCTTTTACTTTCCTCTGGTCCCAACATCATGTTAGGGCTTCATTCGGGTTTAGTAATTCCTCACATATACATGGCTCTTGATTAACAACCTCCCCACCCTCAACCAGGTATCCTATGCCCTTCTCTCCATTGATTTTAGTTCACTTGTTGTTCCCTTGCCCCTGGGTTGGTCCCCCTTCCCTTCTTTTCTCCCACCTCCCCTTCTCCCATATCCCCCGGAACCATTGGTCCCATTATTTTCATCTCCAAATTATTTATCCAGCCTATCTTATCTAGATAGACATGCAGATACATTAATAAGCACAAAAACCAGGCAAAGCCAAATAAGACAACAAAGGAAGTTAAGACCAACAAAACAGTAACAACAACAACAAAATCCCAACAACAACAAAAAGAAAGCCACTGACAAAAATGGAAAAGCCTAAAATTAGTTCAAGGTCTGTTTGCTGGTGTTTATGAGTGTTTTCCAGTTGAGTCTGATGGCATGCCACACTCGTGGTCCAAAGTCTATTTTTGGTATTCCCTGGGAATTTCATCCCTTTGCTCCCCTTGCTGCTCTGTTGCAGGCCCTTAGTGTTTCACCCGTGTGATGGGGTCAGATTGTGCACAATTCCTGCACTGTGTCTCCAGTGATGTCCCCCACATCACTATGGTTTAGTGAAGAATGTCGTGTCCTGTGGTGGGGCCAGCCTTATGGTCTTCTCTGTGCATTCTCTGCTCTAAGCAGGAATATTTTCCTCTGGGCTTGGTGGGTCAGGATGTCCTCCCCTCCTTTTCTATCTGCAAGCTTGGAATTTGTCTCCAGTAGGCAACAGATCGATGCATTATGTCTTCTGAGCCATTCTGTTAGCCTCTGCCTTTTAATTCTTGAGTTCAGTCCATTGATAATCAGTGTTATTACATCCACCTGTGGACTCTGATACTGTCTTGTACCTTTTATATTGGGTATTTTCCTACCTACCTATCTTATCAGTTTGTGATGTGTGTGTGTGTGTGTGTGTGTGTGTGTGTGTGTGTGTTTAATTCTTGCCTTCTTTCCACTATTGAACTAATGCTATCTTAGGAGCTGTTTTCTCTTTATGCCCTCTGGGTTGAGTTGTTCTATGTAACAGTCTCTTATATGTGTTTGGTGAGTGTTGATCTCTGCCTATACTGGGTTGGCAAAGATCTTTTGTAGGGCTGCATTTCTTTTTACCTATTCTTTGAGTTTTTCCTTGTGTGGGAAGACTCTTACTTCTCCATCTATTTTAATAGCTAAGTTGACTGGATATAGTATTCTTGGGTTTGCGTTATTTTCCTTCAATTTTTGGAATATGTTACTCCATTCCCTCCTCTTCTTCATCGTGTCTACTGATAGGTCTGAACCTATTCTTATTTGGATACCTTTATAAGTGACTATTTTTCCATAGCTGCTCTTATGACGTTCTCCTTTTCCTCATAGTTGGATAATTTAACTATTATGTGTCTTGGTGACTTCTTGGGATTCAGTCTGGCTAGTGTTCACTCAGCCTCTTGAATAGTTGCCTGATTTTCCTTTATTAAGCTGGGGAAGTTTTCCTCTAAGAATTCCCTCGCAATTTTCGATGTTGACTTCTTTGTTTTGTCTTGTTGTGGTAGTGCAATTATTCTAATATTGTTCCTCTTCATAACATCAGGCATGGCTTTCAGGTTTTCTTAATTTTCTCTGATTGTCTTATTTGACTGCCTTTCTTGTTTGTTGAAGTTTGCCTGATTTTGCTCTAGATCACTGGTGAAATTCTCTGCCTCCTCAAGTCTCTTGACAAAGTCTGTTAATTTGCTACTGAATTTTGTTATTTCATCCCTTAGGTCTTGTATTTCCCTTTGGTTCGTTGTCGTTATATCCTATATTTCATCTTTTTTGTTTATTGCTTCCCTCATATCCTGTATTCCTCCAAGAAGTATTTTGTAGATTTCTTTCTGTGACAGGTCAATATCTGCTTCTTCTATGCATGCCATTAGGTTCATGACTTCTTCTGTCATTGTATTTTCTTTCTCCTGCTTTTTCATTGAGACAGTTGGGGCTGGTTGCTGTTTTTGTGTTGTTTTAAAGAGAGTCGAAGAGACAGGGCTCTCTCTTTGGGGAACTCATATGGGTGCTTCTTTGAACTACCTGCAGGTAGCTACACTGGGGATCAGGCTACTGCTGTATCTTCTGGTTGCACTCTTACCCTAGCTAACCATTATCCCCTTATTTGGAATGTGATTTGGATCGTCCTCTCACAGTATGCTGGCCCAGTGTTTGTGGGCCCATGAGGATGGCATTTCACTGGCTGATCTCCCATGAAGCCATAGTGGTGTATCTCATGGGGCTTGGAGCACCTCGGATGGTGTGTGGGGTTTTGCTCTGCAACTGGAGTACCATGGTGGGCAGGTGGGTGTACCCTCTTTGGTGTAGAGCACTATGGATGGCAGGCGGAATTATCCTATTTGGGGAGATCGACTTGGAGGTTGGGCAGATGTTCCCACAACAGTGTAGAGCACTACAAATGGAGGGCAGGATTTCTACCAGTCACTTGTAGGGCCTTGGGGTGTAGGCGGGAGTTTGCCCAGGTGTTTACAGGAGTGATCCCCCAGTCACATGGGGTATAGTGGAGGCAGGCATTATTTCCCCTTCTGCGTATAAAGCCAACATGTGTGGGGGGAGCTCCACCAACTGGGCCATCAGAGTTGCCCTAGCAAGAGGGGAGTGGCCTGGAGACCAGTAGTGGATTGTGAAAAGAAAGAGATGGAGAAGAGAAGAAGAACAAAGGATAAAATAAAGACAAGAGCAAAAATAAGAAACAAACTAACATACACATGCACACACACACACAAAGCAAAGACAAAAGAAAAAGAGAGTCAAAAAACAAAACAACAAAAAATAAAAACTGAATCTCCCAAGACTGGCAGGAAAGAGAGAGGAGATAGAAGAAGAAGAACAAAAAAGTGAAAGAAGAAGAAAAGAAAGAAAGAAATAGATAAAGAGATAGCTGAGCCCTGTGCCATGCTGTGTGTAGCACTGCCTTGTGTCGTGTGCAGCACTGCCACAGGGGGCAGGCTGTAGCTCTCCCCACTGGGCGGGTAGTTTCCCTAGGCAGAGGTAGGGGTCTGGAAGCCAGCAGTGGCATGTGGAAGGAAAAAGAGGGAGAGGAGTGAAACAGAAAAGAAAAGAAGTGGGGGGAGAGAAGAAAGAAAAAGAAAAGAGAGAAAGTAAGGGGAAAAACAACTGTTCTTGCTCTGACTGACTGTGGTGGGAAAGAGAGAAGAAAAAAGTAAAGAGATAG